GACCGTAGTGGGGACACACTGGGCAAAGTACGCGTTCTGGCGCTTGCACGCCCATCCCATCGTTGAGCCGCAGACACTGTCGTCAAGCCAGCCGTCACCACCACACTGCTCGTAGCCCACCTTGTCAGGGCGGCAAACAGTATCCAAGCAGGTCGCTCCTTGTGTGCAACGCTCACCGTGGTCGCAGTGCGCCCAAAATCCGACGCATGTACCATGGCGGGGCACTTCCTCCGTGTGCGTCGGCTCTGGCGCCGGTGTCTTCTTAGTGCACTTCGGTCGCTTCGTGGATGGGATCGTCGCGTCCGGCGTCGTCGGTTGCGTTGTCTCGGACACCGAAGTCGTCGCTGTGGTCGTTGTTGGGGTCGCGCCTACGTGCGATGGCGGACGTGGCATCTCGGTGCACGGCGTTGGCGTCTTCGTTTTTGTCGAGCAGATCTTTCGCGTTGGCGTCGGCGTCGGCGGCACAGTTGCTGGTGCAGGGGTCTTTGGAGAGCACTTTTTGTGTGTCGACGTATTGGTCGGCACGGGTGTGGGTGTCTTGGGCACACAGCGATGTTTCGGCGGCACGGGTGTCGTTCTGTTCGTGAGCACAGATGGCTTCGGCGAGCATTTCTTTTTGGGGGAAGGACTTGTGCTGTTGACTTGCGCCGTTGGTGGTGGTGTCTGCGGCGGTAAGAGCGAAGGTGCGTAGCTGCCGATGGCAGACGATCCTCCTTTGGAGCTGGCGATTGCCGCCGTTCCACACAAGACAAGGACCTTGATGACCGACAGTAGCAGCATGGCAATGATCTAAAAGTGGGGTTCACTGCGAATAAATCTGCCTGCAGATCGGGCAAGCTAGCATGGCTTGTATCAATGATGGCGACCCGCTCGACCAACTACATTTAGAACGACTAGCACTTTGCTTGTGAGCTGCACCATCTTGTGTTACACGAGAATCCCCGGAAACTAGAGCTAATTTGAGTCGCAGCTTTCCAAAATGACGGCTGGCAATGCACTGGTAGGTCGATGGTTAGATAGCTTGATTGTGATTACCAACGCTAGCAGTGAAGTCAGGAAAAGTTCTCAACGGAGGACCACGAGTTGCAATGTTAGTTAATGTTAGTTGCAGACTAACGCTTAATAGGGCGTCAGACAGGAAGCAATCTATCTATCACCAGAGGATACAACACAGCAAACGTCGATTCCCAAACCGCATGAACCACGCATGAGATTCATAAATAAAGTATTATTGTCCAGCGACCCGGCAACGTACATCATCCACCGAGTATTTGGCACAATGTTGTGCATGTCGTGGCCTGTTGCAGAGGTACTCAAGTCGATGCAGACCAAGAAGCTAGCTGGATGTAAGAGACGTCGCCTCTAACACCAATTGCTTCGGTTGATTGCAGTTTCTCCGCAAATTGGTTACACCGCAGTTCCGCGGTTGCAGGAAAATCGCAAGCGAGATAGATTCAATCGCCGATGCCCAAGTTCCTTTACCACGTCTTCCTCACCCATGACTGGGGCACCGACGAGGCTGGTCGTGACAACCACGCTCGCGTGTCCAAAATCAACGATGTTCTCAAAGCCAAGTACAAATCATCTTTGTTGGAACGGACATCTTACGCAACGGTGTAGTGGCCTCGTCACGTGGTTCGACGCCGACCGCATGAGTGGTAACATCAAGAAACAAATGGGCCACGGTATTGAAAACTCGGCGCTCGTCGCCGTCTTCATCACGCAGCGCTACATGGAGAAGGTCAACGGTGCCAACCAGAACGACAATTGCCAGCTCGAGTTCAACATGGCGGGGAACACGCAGACGGCAGCGCGCCTCATTCCGATCGTCATGGAGCCTCGCATGAAGGATCAGACCAAGTGGAAATGCGAGTTCAAGCTCACGCTCGGCTCGCTGCTCTATCTGGACGCAACTTCCGATGCCAACCTTCTGCAGTTCTCCAACGAGCTTTCAACCAAAATCAAGGAAATGCTGGCCAAAACAACGCTCTTTCCAAACCAAGATGACGTACTGATCGAGGCGACGAAGGCCAGCCCAACGATGGATGTCGTGCATGTCGAACCACCCAACACGACTCCAATCGTCGCCGCTATCCACGCGACGTTGCCAGTACCACCAAAAAAGGGTCCCAGCGGCGCTAGCGCTGTCGTACCCGTCAACAACACCTACCACTCAACACTAGCCGTGACGCAGCCAGCACCGCCAGCTTGGCTGTCGTCAGGTGGCGACCGCCTGCGTCTCATCAAAAAGTCTCTCTTCGGTTTCGGCTGTATATTGCTGGTTCTAGTCGTCATATCGGCATTGGGCAGCTCGTCATCGTCGTCCTCGACCGACACTACCGAGACGCCGACACCGATCCCAACGCCAACGCCGACACCTACCCAATGGTCTTCCCTGTGGTAGTATGTACGCACGTTTAGAACGCAGCCGAGCAATGATGAAATATTTTCGACATCATTCCTTGCTGCCGACCGCATCAAATGCGCTCGTGAAATAGTGTTGGCCACGCATGGATATCGAAACGCCTTTGCTTCGATGGACGGTTGCCATTCAGTCTGTTGGCATCGACGAGAGATATGCCCAAGTACCTCTACCACGTTTTTCTCACACACGACTGGGGCATCGACGAGGCTGGCCGTGACAACCACGAGCGCGTCTCTCGCATCAACAACGTCCTCAAGGCCAAGTACGTATCAAAAACAGGAACTTGTACTAGTAACGACCTGCACTAGTGACATCGTCACGTGGTTCGACGCCGACCGCATGCGAGGCAACATCAAAAAGATGATGGCCGACGGCATTGACCACTCAGCGCTCGCAGCGGTGTTTATCACGCAGCGCTACATGGAGAAGGTCAATGGTACCAACCAGAACGACAATTGCCAGCTAGAGTTTGGCATGGCGGGGAACACGCAAACGGCGGCGCGTATCGTTCCTATCGTCATGGAGACTCGTATGAAGAACTTGGCCAACTGGAAGGGCGAGTTCAAGCTCATGTTGGGCACCTTACTGTACATGGACGCAACATCCGATACCACCCTCGAGCAGTTTGCGCTCGAGTTGGTCGTCAAGATCAAGGAGATGCTGGCGGACACAAACTTGTTTCCCGAACAAGACGACGTCATCATTGATGCAGCCGCGAGCGCAGTACTTGTCCAAAAATCCGCCGAGTCCGAGGCACCGCCACCACTTCGCTCCAACGCAGTCGCTCCCATGGATGTGCCGAGGGGCAAAGCCGTCAACCACTGGAAACCGTGGCGTCTTCTTGTCGTTGCTGGTACGGCTGCAATCGCGGTCATTGCCGTGGTACTGGTTGTTGTCCTATCGTCCTCGACAACGGCGGACGCCACGAACGAGTCTACGCCGAACGCAACACGGGCGCCGGCAACTGCTTCGCCATCACCGAGCGCTAGCACGTCGTCTGTGCCGGTTTGGACGCCAACACCAACGCCTACAACGTGGATGGATTTCAGTCTATCACCGACTCCAATGCCGCCATCGATGTCAACCTCATCGCCGACACCAACGACATCCTCGTCATGGACACCGTCGTCAACTTCGCCAATGACAACTCCAACTCCTCTATCAACGACAGCATCAAGTTACGCATATTTCCCATTTACGCCGTCATCGTCTGTGTCATTCGTGAGAGACAGCGCGTCATACTCGTTGAGCACAGTCTGGAATGCGTCGTCGCTCAATGGTGACCCGTACCTCCTTGGCATCACGTCGGCAGTGTCGCAGATCATTATGAGCGTCGAAACCGGCCTCCTTTCGTGGGCAACAGGCAATCCGGGCGCCAACGTATGGCTGACGAGCGGCTCGCCAGGCTACCCTCTCACGCTTGCGGCCGACCGCAACGGAAACATCGTGTACGCAGACCCGTTGACGAGCAAAATCACGGCCCGGCAGTCGTACTACATGCCCGTCTCGACATCCAACACGAATCAGTACAAGATAGTTGCCGCTAATTTCTCTGGGCCGCGGGGCGTCGCGTTTTGTCAATGCACCTCATGCTCTGCTTACGCGACGGCGTTTGTCGCAAACACTCTGGACAACAGCCTTATTCGCATCTCGCTGGGATCGAACGTGGCCTCGGTGTTGTCGTTCACGGGTACACTCAACCGTCCCACGGCTCTGGCCGTTGATCAACAGTGCGCCTATCTCTACATTGCCGACACGGGCAACCATTGTTTTCGTCGCGTATCCCTCACTGCGACAGCCCCAGCCATCTTGGAGACGGTTGCCGGCACGTGCGGAACTTCGGGGTATGTCGACGGCGATAGATATGCCAACCTCTTCAACACGCCTCAAGGTCTGGCAGTCGATGGCAACAACACCGTGTACGTCAGCGACACGGGCAACCACGCAATCCGAAAAATCACGTCTTCGGGGTCCGCGACGACGGTTGTCGGAGCTGGCGGCGCTTACGGCTTTGCAGACGGTCAAGCAAACTGGGCGTTGGTCAACACACCGTTGGCACTCGCCGCAGTGAATTCAGATCAGTCATCGGTCCCGTGGGGCATATATATCATCGATTATGCAAATAAGAAACTTCGATTGCTCTCGTGAGCATCATCAAATGCGTTCAAATCGTAGCACCAGCCGCAGGAGCGTATTGCCGCCACTGTTCTAGCGGAATCCCAGCTCCGATACGTTTCCCGTCGATAGGAATAATTACTTTGGACTCCCAACGACCGACTTAAATGCCTGGATGCACCGTGCAAGGCAAAACCAGAAATTACTGCGTCAAAGTACGATACCAACCTACTGTTTCAACCGCGCGCTTCGGTTGGGTCAGCGTTCGAACAATTGCGCCCTTACGCATCGATTCTCACAACGCTTTTTACCTCCTAGCTCTGAGCTGATGGCTTCTCGAAACGCTCTACGATGGCTCATGTCAACTATTGTGCTCACCATGGGCGCCCCCCCACAGTTGCTCTTGGATGCCCCGCTTCCAGTATCATCGTCCATGGTGACCGACAGCGGCACATACACCGTGTCGACGGTCTTTGACGCATCGCCGGTCAACTGGGTTCTCAGTGCTGGTCTTTTGCGCGAGCCGAGCGCCTTTCTTCTTGTTGGCACCGACTTTGGCCTGTTTGCGGCTAATGGGTCTACAAACATCTCACTTGCTGAAGATGCGGGTCTCGGGCTGCCGTTCGCGCTGGCCGTGGACGTCAATAATACTGTTCTGCTGGCGGACCCGACGTCGGATCGTGTCGTGTCCCGTCTTAACAGCCTGGCGCCAGTACCCACCACAGACACGAGCGTATACGCAACGCTGCACAACGTAAACGTCTCGGGATCACGGGGTGCTGTCGCCTGCCCGTGCGTTGGATGCCCATGTGGCGGCAAGACCTACATTGCGAATACGCTCAACAACAGCATTACAATCCTCGAGGATGGCGTAGCGTGGTCGCTGGCCTTGGACGGTTCCCTCAAACTGCCGACGGCGCTCGGCATCGATAGCCTCGGATCGACACTTTACATCGCCGACACAGGCAACCACTGTATCCGCTCGGTCGCATTGGACAGCACAGCGCTAATCCTGGCCACCGTTGCCGGCACTTGCGACACATGGGGATATATCGACGGCACACCATCATCAACGCTCTTCAACTCACCACAAGGCCTGGCGCTTGACGCTGATGATACCATCTACGTGAGCGACACGGGCAACCACGCGCTTCGAAAGATCACGTCGAGTCTCGTGACAACTATTATCGGCCAGGGCGGCGTGTACGGATTCCGCGACGGCAGTCAGTATACCGCCAGACTCCACTCGCCAGCGGGGCTCATAGTCTACGCACCGTTCCCGAATGCCCTCGACATCTTTGTCGTTGACTACAACAACCAGCGCCTGCGCCAAGTGCACCGAGAGCGACAATAGTTCTTCTTCATCTTTCTTTGATATCAAATCTTCTTCAACACCAGTCTGCACGGAGTTACTTTCGCACGCTGGAAAATCCATTAATACGACGCATCCGAGCATAGGTTCCCGCCTTTTTCTAAAATAGATGTCACCTGGCGTTGATTGGTCCTATTTCGACTTGTCAATCCTTCGCACCAGAGTCGCTGCCAGTTTTACATGGCCAGCTCCCCATCGCTGCCTTGCAGGGAAGAGGACTTGGCGAAGAACGCGTCTTGTGTCTCGATGTCCAATGTACCCGTTGCAACAGAGACGCCGCCAGAGGGGGGCGATATCCCCGTGCTTGGCGCGGACGAGACGCCGTCCGCCCCCGCTACCGAATGCGAGGAAAAGAAGAAGACGAAGATCCCACCCATCGTGTTCGTACCGCTTCTTGGTGCCTTTGTCGTCATCACAGTTGTCCCATCTGTCGTGAGCAATCTCATGAACAAGTCGTCGTCGTCGTCCCCGACACCAGCACCGCCCTCACCAACAACAGCGCCAGGCTACGGGGGCAGCGGTACAAAGGGATGGGACTTCACGCCGGCGCCAGCGACCCCAACACCCACCCCGTCTACACCAACGTACGCCATCTCGACCGAGTTTGCCAGCCTGTACGCTCAAGCCAACATCACTGGCGTCGCACTCGGCAGCCTTCAGGCATCTCCTTGGGTTGCCCTCAACCAAACGACCATCTACTCGTCCCAGAGCTCGCTTCTCGAAAACAGCACGTCGCATTTCAGTGGCGTCACATCGGACGCCAGTGGTAACCTCTACGTGTCCGACTTGACTCAGCCCCAGATTGTACAGCGCCCTTGGAATGCCACAACTTCAACCACTTATGCCGTCCTGACCAACACGACCAGCGGGCTTTTGCAACCACGTGGCTTGACCATGTGCGCTGGTGTTCTATTTGCCCTCGACAGCGGCTACATCAAAAGCGTTAACAAGACGACAGTCATGGCCGTTGTCGCGGGACTCTCTACGACCGCTACGAATCTCGCCGCTGATAGCACGGGCTCTTATTTATACATTGCCGACACGGGCGCCCACTGCATTCGACGCGTCGCCCTCGCAAACTATGTCCTCGAGACGTATGCCGGCAGCTGCGGTAATGGAGGCTACGTTGACGGCCCGCGCTTGTCGTCGCGCTGGAACTCGCCAGGCGGTGTCACGGTCGACGTGTACGGCCACGTCTACGTCAGCGACACTGGGAACCACGTCGTGCGCAAAGTGGACAGCGTCTCGTCTACCACGTCGACACTCGCAGGGACGCCCGGCGTCTCGGGCCTTCGCGACTCGAGCGGCACCTTGACGACTAGCTTGCTCAACGCACCGCTCGGCCTCGTCATTAATGGAACGCTTAGCTGGCAAGTGCTCGGCAACAGCGCCTTCAACTTGTATGTAGCCGATACTGGCAACAACTGCATACGGCGCATCTCAAAGCTCTCGTGACTAAACCAAGAAATAAACAACAACCCCTAATGACTCTAATCACCTTTGCAGTGTTGATTAGGTGATGCACTGTTAGGGTGTTGGCTGACACTGAATAGCGTCGCGCGGGTCGCTGATTCCACCATTACACCCGCATTCTTTCCATACAACCAACTCGGTAGAGCCCTCTCGATGCGCTCGAGTATGATTAGCTGGCTCGCCATAGCGAGGCCTGCAGCACGGAGGTTTCGTGTTCGGGTGGTTGAGTGTATCCGGTGAAACGGGTGCAGTTACCTCGATGGTGCCGAGTGCAAAACAAGGTTTTAGCCATGGACAAGGACGACTACGGTACCGCATCCATCGCTTCTGCGACGGTGTTGACGCTGTTTCTTCTTCGTAGACAACCAGATGCACACGGTGGCAGACGACGAAGCCGATGAAGATGGCGACATCGGACGCGATGACGACGTCGGCTCGGACCTCGAGATTGACGACGTCCAAAGGCAAGACAAAGAACTCATTTCAGTGGTCTATTATGGGGCGCCATAGATCCTTCTCGCCGCTGAATCTGAGCTCATACGACTCGGTTGCGAAGCTGTCACGGGCCGAGTCGGCGGAAATTTTCTCGAAAAAGTTTGCCGAGCGGTCGCAGGTCAAGAGCTCGATGCTGGAGGAAGAAAAACTTCGGCGCCTTCAAAAGGAGAAGCGGCGACAGGCGAATATCGAAAAGTGGCAGTCCAAGCTCGCAAAGTCGCCGTTCAAAGTCAACCTCGTCGCGGACAACGAGCGGCTCGATGAGGTGGACGTGAAGTGTCGTCAAGATCTGACGACGGGTAGGAAAACCGCGTGCGCTTGGCGGAGGAAGCGCGTCGCATTCGCGCGCTTGAGAAGAAGACCAAGCAGGTCAAAAACGACATCATTCTCAAGGTATACCGATGGAGAAGAAGAACGGCAGCAGATAATGATACGTAGGCGCTGCAAGAGACGTCCGACTTGGACGCCTTGCGACGTGAGAAGCGCGTTATCATGGAGGAGGAGAAGCGCCTGAAGGCGCTGCTGGACCTTGAAAAGACCAACTCGCACCGGAAGATGGACATGCTTGCGGCCCAGAACGCAGAGAAGAAGCGCAAGCAAGAGAAGATTGAGTTCCGCATGAAGCAGCGCAAGGACCAGTTGCAGACGCGCGACGAAGAATACAAGAAACTCCTCAAGGAGAAGCTCGCTCTCGAATAAGGAGACGCATTATACGATACTTAGTTCATGCCGTCGGGCGTCGACTTGACAATGTACAAGTGGCTTTCGTCAAGAGAAACAGAGTACTCGTAGCTTGGGAAGGCAATCGTGATGCTTTCAAGCAGCTCGCGCTGGGGGTCCGTAGCCTTCAAGATCGAAAGGTTGCCCACGTCGAGGAGCATGTGGCGCACAGCGTTGCACGCGTCAACCCCTTCGTCGCCGGCCAAGTCGCCAGCAGCGCTTACGATGCTGCCATCGAGGGTCACGATGGCGACGCCGATCTGGTTGGGCGTCGCCAACAGCGTATCCTATCCGGTGCGTGAGCGTCTTGTCATCCTCGGCGACGGTCTCTCTACCATGCTCACTGCGCTCATCTTCCTCCGTCAGCTCGAAATTTGCAGCAAATATTTGCCCAGCAATAATATATGTTTTGATATACGCACCTGAAACACGAAAAGCACAACATCTTTAGGTGCATATAGCCAAAACTGACACGAGCAATATTTGAATGCAACATCACGAACGACAAACGTGGGCTAGCTAGACATGTGCCACAGAGCAGTCTTCAGCCCCTGCAGCCCTGTCATTTTCCGTGCTAGCGGAAGGCACTGTTAGCTCGCAATACGGAGCACTGACCCATTGCGACGATGCTGCTGTCGGTGTTGGAATTTCGGAGACGTGTGTGTTGGCAAGCGAGATCCGAGACATACGCAGCGCGGCGGATGGTGGCGGCTCAGCCGTTGTCTTGACTTGGACGAAGCCACCGACCAGGGCAATACAAATGCCCAAGAGAAGCTTCAGCAATGGTGTCTCGCTGACGGTCGGCTGGTCGTCGAGCCACAGCGCCGCAAGTGCTCCGACGACGATGGACGCGCCGAGGCAGCACGTGACGACAATGGTGCGGATGCGCTCCGAGTATGTGATGCCGACATAGATGTCAACGCCAATGTACATAGCGAAAAACACGTAGGCGACGAAGCGGTTTACGACACACGCCAAGATGCACGTCCCGACTAGAACGATCGTGGCCATGTTGAGCACAGCCTTGCCGAGGATGAGAAGGATGCTTGTATGACGTACATCGACATAGCGATGGACCATGGCGAGGCCAAGGACCACAAAGAGGAGAAGCATCATCGTTGCGATAAAGTCGAGGTTGCCGAATGTCGCGAGCGCGAGGTAGCCGAAGACAAAGACGCCGACAGCCACGATGTGGATCGCAGCGTAGCCAAGGAAGGCGCAAAGGAGGCCGTACATTACCACGATTGCGTAGAAGACCACATACGACGTTGAAAGCATAGCACTATTCTTCGCTGGGCCGGACGTCGGGTATTCAGCTCCGCTCTTTCTGGGATCTCAGGATCAGCCCACGCATGACTTTGCCTGTCAGCCGCTAGCGCACTTAGTCGGACCGTACCTAGCCATCTTGTGAGGGTCGTACTTGTTTGGAAGGCCGAACTTGTGCGGGATGGTTTGGTTGGGCGACGTGGTTTCTCATTCGCCTTTTCGAAGATGGCCTTCCTCGACGGTCTCCTGACGCGCGCTAGCAAGTTCGGCAAGAGCCACGGCCTTCGCCCGCTCACGTCCAAGCGCGCCAACCGTCGGTTCTACAAGGGTAAGGGCTGCCGCAACGAAGGCGTCCACGCCAAGCTCGGCGGCTATCGCATGGACCTCACCAAGATGCTCGAGCTCGAAGTGCCGGACCTCACGGGCTTCAAGCTCAAGCCGTACGTCTCGCCGCTTGTCTCGCGCGTGCCTCCGTCGGCGTCGTCGTAAGTCGAAATGAAGCCTAGTATATAGAGAAACCTTGAAAAGACCGTGAGTAAGGCCCCAAATCCACTGGTGCTTCTCGCGTCTCCTGCCTGGCACTGATCCTGGTCACGTCGTCATACGCAATTCGATTCGACTAGACTACGCTGCATATTGTATTGTCGGGTCGTCGATTGCCACTACGGTCATGCCTTGATGCTGTCGAATGATCATCGTTCAACACCTAGATTCTGAAAGGACGGGTACGGTTCCTGCGACTTGTCAGAGACTCGACGTTGGGGCATCCTCTTTGGATAACATGTAGAGCATCTTCACCGCGGCCCAGGTAGAGCGAAGTAAAATGCGTGCACAGGCTGGGTCCAACCTAATAACAGTTTGCACAGCCCAAACCACAGGACGAGCAAGCACTGTCGAGCGCGATCTACGTCATGTTCATTCGCCCATCTGCCTTAAACAAGATGAGGCTGCAGTCGCTGTCAACGGAGCACATATATCGAATCCAATTACTCATAATAATTGGCTATCATCTTCTCGTCGCTTCTCCTTACTGGATGGCACAGCCGCACTTTTGGCCGTGCTTGAGCTGCTCAACCTCGCCAGCCGCCATGCTCAGCTCCAAGTCAGTGCGTTCCTTTTCCTTCATGAGGCGTTCGTACTCCTTGCGGATCTTTTCGAGCTCGAGCTCCTTCTCGTCCTTGTGGCCGCGGATCGTGTCGAGCTGGAGCGCAATCTGCTCCTTCTCGACGTCAATTTCGTGCTTCCCCTTGGCTTCCTGCGCAAGCTTGGCCTTGAGCTGCGAGATCGTCTGCTGCTGGGCTTCGACCTCAGCCGTGTACTTGGCGCGTTCCGACATGACCTCGGACGTCTCGTGCTGCAGCGCTTCGATCTGCTGCTTGTACACTTGCTCACGACCGCCGATGGCACCAAGCGTTTCCTTGACGGCCGCGGCTTCCGCCTCGAGGGACCGGATCTTCTTCTCAAATTTGTCTTCCTGGCGCGAAAGAAGGAGGCGCATCGCGTCCGCGTGCTTGGTCTCGGAGAACGCGAGGAGGCAGTCGAGCTTGGCGCCGCCCTTGGCCTGCTCAAGGTAGCGCTCGCGGAACTTGACCCACTCGCGCGCAAAGTCTTGCATGTCCTCGTACGAGTTTTTCTCGTCCGAGAAACGCGGCTGGATGAGCTCTGAGAAGAGCGTCTGAAGCAGCCGGTCGCATGTGTCCTTGGAGACCGCGCGGTTCTGCTTGCGCACGTTGGCCTTCTCCTCCTCGATCTTTTCCATGAGCTCGGCCTCAAACTTGGTCGTTGCGTCGCCCATCGCTTGCCGACGGTACTGCGAGACAGCGCTCGCTTCGGCGTCCTTGAGTGCCTTGGAGAGGTCGTCCGGGTCCAGCGGCATCTCGAGGAGGCTCAAGCTCACGCGGAAGGCCTCAGTCGCGGCCTTCATGGCCTTCTTGCACTCGGTGGCCGTGACGCCATCCCACGCCGACGAGATCGTGGGCACACTCCCGTTGTTGATTGCGTCTACGTACGCGACGAGAAGCCCCGCAAACATGGAGCCGTTGAGCGGCTTGTTGTTGAGCATCTTGGGAGAGAGATTGTTGAAGATCGAGGCCTTGACCTTGGCGAGCTGCTCCTGGAACTCAGGGCGCAGGTCCGTGATCGGGATCTTGTCAACCTGCTGCAGCTGGTTCTCGTCGTACACCGGTCGCACCATTGTATGGCACTCGCGGTCCTTGAAGAACGACGTCATCATGTGACGCACGCGGTTGCGCTCCATGACGGCTTGCGTCAAGCCCGGCTGCGGCGCCAGCGCACGCTCCAGGTACTCGTTGGGCGTGATCGGGTCGCCGTCTTCGTCCACGAGTTCGAGCGTAAAGTCGCGCACGACCCACGTAAACGACGGGAAAAAATTGGAAAACTCCTCGCCCGCAGCGTCGGCGTCCTATGCACCGAGCACCATAAGCCTAATTGTCCGGTGAAACGAAGCCATTTTACGTCGCCAGATGCGTCCGCGCGGATGCGAATGTGCTTGGTCATGTTGGCAATGAACGAAAGCCCGTTCACAGCCTTCTCATCGACGCTACCTTGGCTACAGTCGACATCGCGTGAGGCTATGCTCATGAGATAGACGGGCACGAACCTGTTGTAGATGAGCTTCGAACAGAGAAGGGTCGCGAGCGAGAAGATGCGGACATCGTACTGCGCCGACGCTTCCAAGCCGCCGAGACCTTCCGTGTCAAGCATGAGCACGTAGCAGGGCTCGCCGTTGGGCAAGATGTGCTTCTGCGGCCGGCCCCAGAGCCAGATGCCACGCGTGCAGCGCTCGACAGTCGGGCCAACGCGAAAGCCGCTCTGGTTGCCAAGCAGCCAGTTGAGCATCGACGACTTGCCCGTGCGGTAGAGCCCGGCCATGGCGACGACCGAGATTTTGCCCTCAATCTTTTGCAGGATCTCCATGGCCTGCTCGTTGACCTGGAGCCGATCTTCCTTCTCATCAAAGTGGAGAAGCGCGATGGGCTCATCCGGGAACTGCGTCAGCGCCAAGGCCGTCTCCTCGCTGCCACTGCTGCTGCGCCGGCGGTTCGCACTCTTCTTGCCCATGCTGGTTTCAGTCACTACAATCGGAAATGGTGAGACCCGTCATTTGCATTAAATTTTACGTGGCGACGACGGCATACAAGAACAGTGATATTATAATTGTTGGATTCGGCGGGAGATGAAGTATATATAAATCAAGTCTAAAGTGATCGGATTGTAAGACCATTAGAACATCCAGACCACGTCGTCCATGAACCCCTTCACTTTGAGCTTGTTTGTTCCTGCGCCTCCTGTGTACTAGTCGGTCTCTCGCGGCGCCTGCATTGCGTACTAGTATACTATTTCCTAGTTCGCGTGAACGTGGTGGTTGCAAAATGGGACAAGAGATTATACGCATTTGTCGAAGCGGATGCTCGATATCAGTTATCTTCAACACCACAAGATAGCACCAAAAACTGTAAGCATCCGCGATCGCAGCCAGAGCCATCCCGCGACGGTCATGCATAGCGAGCTCGCAGCGCGTGATGGACCGCTGAGACTGCGATCCTTGGATGGCTCATTGGTCGAAAGGTGAATGACTGTGGCCAATCCAAGGCCGCGAACACCCCAAAAAGATATTTTGGGCATCCCAGTTGAAATTTGCCGCGCTGTACAGTCGACATGGCGGCCCAGCGACGATGGAAAGAGCCTCGCGCGACGACAATGCTCGGACTGCAGGAAGATGCCGACACTATGGAGGAAGATAGACCCGGCTCTGTGGACGAGCGTGCTGAAGCGTCTCCTTGTCCTGCCTCATCCAGCGTCATCGCCATGGAAGAAATATGGCAGCAATGGACACTGAAGAAGAGCCACGAATATACTCCCATTGACGATGACAACAAGGAGAACATTGCTCCAGCGTCGATGCATGACTGGCTCCATGACACGTCTCGACCTCGGCTCAAGAAGGCCCGTCGCATCCCGCTCCTCGACATCACACACATCTCGTAGCTTCGACAATATCAGTGCGTCCGAACTCGTAACGTCTAGTGCCCATGGATTCACTTGTCGACAGATTGCGCCCACAGTACTAAGCCCACCATAGGCCCATAGAGCAATGACGAGACTACTTCCTACATGAACCATTCTCGCGTCACGTTAGGGTCCATTGAAGACGCCTGTATTTGAATTCGCCCTCTTACGGGCTCTATTGTGCAACACCTCTCAGCCTTGTCCGTCACGTTGCTGCCATGTACGCTGCTCCATGCGGCCGTGCACGGGGCAGGATCTTTGGTGCTGTTACGGTGACCATCATTCTCGCCGAGAACGTTCTCCCTATGTCTACCGTCCTGTGTGTCGAGATGGGAGTAAGGGAGTTGCTGTTACCCGCCCACAACAATCCCCATCGACAGAGAGAAGCCCGTCGGCCCATCGTCGAGCTTCGCCCTACTTGCAGCAACCATAGCCGCCGATCTCTCCCTCACACGCTGGTGGCAATCGTGGACGGCGCGCATGAGTCAGTTTGCGCACGGAATCCGGTACTTTGATGCGACATCGCTCGCAGAGACGGCGACGCCACTGACGCCGATGGCCACGCACGTCCTCGGCGTGCCGCACGCGACCGCCGCCTCGCTCGTCGCCCACCTCCAGTCGATCATCTGGCTCACGTATCGGCGCGACTTTGTGCAGATGGTGCCGTACGAGTTTACGAGCGACGCGGGCTGGGGCTGCATGCTGCGGACGGCGCAGATGATGCTCTGTGAGGCGCTCCTGCGGAACCTTCCGCGCCATCGCGAGGCTCGTTTCATGTGGTCCGACACGCAACCGCTCGCACCCGACGTTGTGCACGTGCTCCAGTCGTTTGTGGATGCGCCAACGGCCGACTGCGCGTTCGCGATCCATCACATGGTGGCTGTTGGCATGAAGTACGACATGCTTCCCGGCGAATGGTACGGCCCGACGACAGCGGCCCAGGTACTGCGAGACCTCGTGAATGCACCGATCAACAGCAACAACTGCAACATGTGCATGTACGTGCCGCAAGACGGTGTTATCTACACGGAGGAAATCAACAAGCTCTGCGTGACGGCATGGGCGCAGCCCGTCATTGCGACGGCCACCGACGTACTCTATGACCCACTTCTAAACCCACCAACGATTGACACATCGGCTGCGTGGTCCAAGTCGGTGTTCATTCTGGTGCCATTGCGTCTTGGCCTCGACAAGCTCAACGAGACGTACATCCCAGGTAAACGGATGGCGACAAATCTTGTGTCTAACGTGTTTGCAGCGCTCACTGAGGTGTTTGAGCTGCCGCAGTCTCTCGGCATCATTGGCGGAAAGCGCGGCCACTCGGTCTACTTCGTCGGCGCTCGAGGTACACACTTCTTCGCTTTGCAGACGAAAGAAACGGTGCGTAGGTCATCAATTCCACATTTTGGACCCCCACACGGTGCACCCGACGACAGAAGTTGATGCTTCGTTCCCGACTGCGGTAGTATATCGCTCGTACGCCCTCTTGTTGAATCATAACCTCGTAGACGCACGCTCGAACGGTGCACTCGACAGATCATTTGGTCATGGAAGTCGACTACATTGATCCATCGCTTGCAGTCGGCTTCTACTGCCGTGACCGCGCCGACTACGTGGACTTGTGCCGCCGGCTCGCCGCCATGGCCCGTGGCAAGACGTGTCCTATCACAGTGGCGGATGCCAAGCCTGACTACACGAACGATGTCGAGTTGCATTCCGTCTCGGGCGAGTCCACAGGTGGCGACAATGACCTGAGCGATGAAGACGACTACGTGCTCATTTGAGTTGGCAGCCGACGATTGCGCTAACGTCGACACTGCATTCCTTCCTTCTTCAATATACATGCCGGTGCTGCTAATGCTATGGATGCGTACCATCTATGCGGCGCTCGTAGTTGCGATCGAAGAACGCGGCTGGCTCCATGCAAATCCACGTTTCTGTGAATCTCGCAACTGACGCTACAGTGGAATCATGGCGTCGGCGGCGACGAACCATCGTGCGCGGAAGGAGTGGCGACGACCATGGACTCGCCGATGATCGTCACAGCATCCGGGTGACGGAGCCGACAGCACCATCAACTCGGATTCGGACTGATTCAGTGGCCTTGCTCGCCAAGACATGTCGCACACGCTCGACACTTGATCTTCCGGTTTCCGCTCCAAACGATTGGCCAAAAGTTAATTGTTGGCTGCGCTTATTGGTGGAAATCCGCCTCTAAGATCCAACCTTTTTCCGGCCGGATATGAACCAATCAAAGGCCGAATAAAATTCATGGAAACACCGAATCAAGAGACGTATTTATTGCTGCTTTTCGCAACGCAGGAACCCGACGGACAAGGCCCGGCCCAGCGAGTCCATGTCCCATTCCAGCCCGACGCCCGAGGTGACGACGACGAAAATGATGACCACGCGCGGTACGAAGCGATCTCGATCCCATGAAGACGCGCGCAGCGAATCAAAGGTGAGCCCGCGCGCCAAGCCCCACACATACGACATGCGCCCGGCTGCTGGCGCCGATGCGATCGTGCTCAACCCGAGCCTCATGACCGAGCGGCAGCAGCTCGCATTCCTTCTTCGAAAGACTGCGCCGGCCAAATCGCCGGCCGACAGCGATTCCCACGCAACCGATGACACGGGCTTGAAGCGCAAGCCGTCGCCCGTGCACAAGGACGGCGAGATTACGACGACACGAAAGAGCCGCCCCGTGAAGAAAGCGCCCGCGGCCGTCGAGATTCTCTGCTGCGTTTGCTCCAAGTACACTTGCACGACAGCGCTCTTCATTTGCGACCACTGCGACAAGAAATACCCGACACAGAAAAAGCTCGGGCTTATTTCGGTATGACTGCAACGCAGACGCTGTCATGAACATCACCACCATCATCTACCAACCACGTCCTCCTCAATACATCGTGTATCTCATCCTCGTCCGAGGCCGCCGTAGTCGTCATTCTCGATCGATTAGTCGTTATTTAGTACATCCTCCTCCTCTTTGCGTCCATGGTCGACCACCGCAGGTCTTGCGCCAGCGCCGCCGATAAGACGACGCAATCATTCGGCTCTGGCTCTTCGATCCGTCTCACCTTGAAGTTCATGGCTAAGGGCGGGGCGCCCAACGCATGCCGCCCGACCAGGACATACCCGCAGCGAACGACGGAAGCGGCCACCACTATTAGCGCTACCCTCCCGCGTCGCAACAAAGCGCGGCTGTCGTCGCTCACCGGGCGTCGGTCGGTCGCGACACCGCGTCGCAGAGCTTCGAAATTTTCCGTTGGCCTTTTTTCGAACCCAAGAAAGACGTTATCCGGAAGATACGCTTTCCGGTGGGTGGGCAGTCGCCGTCATGCCCCGCATCACGCTCGAGCTCCTTCGGAAGCGCGCCGAGCACAATGAGGGCGTTGTCGCGACGCTTGAAGAGATCTCGTTGCACCAAGAAGAGATCGAGAAGATCGAGGTCATTGGCACGCTCTGCAAGAAGCTGCGCATCCTGTACCTCCAGAACAACATCATCGAGCGGATCGAAGACCTTTCGCACATGAAGGACCTGCGCTACCTCAACCTCGCGCTCAACAACGTCAAGCGCATCGAAGGTCTGCGGTACGCCGCCGCTGATTTCAGGCGTAATCGCGATGTGGCATAGTAACTGCGAGTTTCTCGAGAAGCTCGACTTGACCGTCAACTTCATCGATGTCGACGCGCTGGCCGAGAGCATCGTACGGTCGCGATCAACATGTGATTATGAACTACAAGCGACGTATAGAACCATCTCAAACCGCTCGAGCATCTCCGCGAACTGTACATGCTCGGAAACCCAGCGCAGTCCGACTGGCCGGGCTTTGCCGCCTACATTACTGCATCGCTGCCACGCCTGCAGATGCTCGACGGCAAGGAAATCACAAAGAGTGACCGTATCAAGGCCTTGCAGCAGCTACCCACGCTACGCGTACGATTACTTCTCACTATAAACAGTATGCTTAGCAAGTACATTGTAGGCCGAGCTGGCTCATCTCGTAGCAGCCAAGAAGGCTCGGACCCTTGCCGAGATGGACGTTATCGAGGTCGTGAGCGGTGGCTTCACGGATATCTCCTCGAATCAAGTCACGCACATCGAGCACGACGAGAAGGTTCCTTACACGCCCGAGACGCGCCGCAGTACGCTTGCGTTTGGTTAGCGAGGCGACGCCTTTGCTTGTGTCTTAGGTATGTACATGGAACTGGCCGAGCAAAAGGAAGAAGAAGAAACCCGGAAGCGCGCAAACCAGCCGCGCGACCGAGACCCTGAGGCTGAGCATACGGCGGCCCTTGAGAAGACGCGGCGGCTCGATCAAAATGGTGTCATCCGCCAGTGCAACGAAGGCAAGGTACGTTGCGTCGTTGGATCCGTGTGCTGCACCGTCATCCGTAGTGGAAATTCCACCTTGACGACGAGACAAAGCCCGGCTACGTTGTACTCGAGGTCTTCGTGCCCAAGTACCTGGATTCATCCCTCATACACGTCGATGTGCACCCGATGCACGTTTCGATCACGATCAAAAACAAGCTTCTACGCCTCCGATTCCCCGAGGAGGTGAGCGACTTCGTCGTCACTTAAGGAATAACCATGAGGCGGCAGGTCAAGTGCGACCAAGGCTCAGCGCTGCGGTCTAAGACAACGGGCGCGCTGCAGTTAACTGTCGAGAAAGTCGACCCGCGCAGTGTGCAGCGAGCACTGCGCGCAAAGGCGCACCGCGAACAAGCTAGTTGCGACCACGACGAAGAGCCAAACGCGCCGGCACCGAAGTCACTCCAAGCCCAATTGTTGCGGTCGGCCGTCCAGATTCGAGGTCTCGTAGCGCGCCCCGAAGCTGCGGAGGAGGCTGTGGCTCGGAAAATCCACGCCCAGTCGTCTCGATCTCTAAGCGCTGCGACGAACGACGTCGATGCGCCCCCACTCCTCTTTTAGTTGACAACCATACCACTGCAAAGTACTCGATGATCTCCGTAAGCGCTTGAACAGAACGCATTGTCCAGTCAAGACTTGAAATGATTGCTTTGCCGAGGCGGCTGACTTTGAGTCTGTCGTGGCCGCGCAATGCAATATCTTTTCGACTCAGTCAGTGCCCCTAGCTTGCGCCTTGGCGTCGCAACCTGCCTATCCATTCACGAATCAGGTTGCCCATCCAGCCACAAAGCCGCGGTTCTGTGGTCCTGCTGTGACTCGCTTGGGCTTGATTGGCAGGAGTGAGGTTTTGGGAACATTCAAATGCGCTTGAAATTGACATTGCTTCCTCAGTAGCTCGCACTGGGACTGATAGCTCGTGTCTGACGACGCCGACGTGCTAGGTTCCTTCGTGGACGATTACTACAGTAGTATTCACACGACGCAAAAGCCCGGTGTTGTCGCATCAGAACCCGAGGTTTGTGCGACCGAACGAAATATGTTTTCGCAACCACACTTGGATACAGGCCAAACAAACGGCAGTAGCGCTGTTATCGGCGCCCAGCCGGTCCGTCGTTTGCTGATATGACTCTAGACACAAGCAATCGCCTCATTTGACGACGCAGTTGCGACGGATTGTCTCGTTCCACGCAATTTCACGCCACCCAGCATGGTGCACGAACGAGTTACTCGCGCTGCTCTCCTGCTCTTCACTGTCGAGCGGTCGTTGCACTGCAGGCTCCTCACACCCTGGTGGTGCAACACGAAGGTCCGTAATCGACTTCTCCGTCGGTGTGCTCGTCGCGGTCGCCTTGTAGATGTAAAAACAGGCTCCTCACACCCTGGTGGCGCAACACGAAGGTCCGTAACACTCTGCTGACAAACGATGCTCGTCCAACTCTCGGTGCGACGGTAGACACAGTGCAGGCAAGTTTCTCTACGGCAACGCACGACCAAGCCAAGTCGTTCGAACGTCGTTTTGCCTGCGTCTCGATTGCACTTCGCGCTGCATCTGAGAACGCACCGTCAATAATCAACAGACTGCATCGCAGTGCAGAGGTGAGTCACACAATGCGTGACCTATCCGTGTCAAAGCAAACCTTCTGCTGGCTCTTCATGTATTACCACGCGCTTCTGGAACGATAAATAACCTGGATTCCCTGGCGTCGACGAGTGAACTTAGCTGCAGTACTCTGAGGGGGAATACCGGCTGCGCGAGTCGTCGTCGTCGCTACCGTCAGCAAGCTCCTCGAGGAGCGCATCAAGCTCTTTCATGGAGATCTTGCCCATGACGGCAAGAATGACGTCCCAGCCCACTTCATTGTCGTTGAGGCCGGGCATTTTGGCGCGCAGCGCCTGCAGGTGTGCGCGGGTGCTTGCAATAGTCGCTGCGTTCGTCACGCTCGGCACATACGTCGCAGCCTCCATGCCCGTCGCACGGACGTAGGGGCTAATCGCGCAGTGGCTGTGCGTCGGGAGCTCCGTGTAGAGCACCGAGAGAAGCGGTGTCCCACGCGGATACTGAAGCGCGCCATCGACAAACGCTTGAGCGACTGCGTGTACGAACGCAGCTTCATCTGGCGAACTCCACTGCGGCGCAGACGTCAAGACGGGCGCTGGCATACGGAGGCGTCTTAAGAGAGGCTGCAAAGACCGCCATGTTGCGGGATCCACGCGGGTCGCGCCGCTCTGCGGGGACGCCGCGACGTTGAACTTGGTCAGCAGCGGCTGCCACAGGCGTTTGCGGGCGTTAATGAACCAGTTTTTGACCTGCGACGGCGTGAGCTGCGCGGCTCGGGCAAGTGCCTCGCGTTCGCTGGGCGTCGGATACGGGTGCAAAAAGTGTGCGTCCGAGAACATCCACGCGCGGAGGACCATCGTCGATTCCTTCTCAAGCGCCTTCGTCATGGAACGGTCTGGTGTGAAAATGAAGCCGATGGCACTTACATAGCAGTGCACCTTCGTTGGCGTAGAAAGGACACGCAGCGCAGATGGCGGCGTCCCACGCCCCGCATTTGAGTCCGGAGGCGGTGCCGTCGCTGGGCGCGAATGATTACTTGACATCAGAAGCCTCCTGGACGTTGACGCTAGCGAATGACAATGCGAAGTGGCCGTAGTGCTACGAAGACAGCGAAGACTGGAGTGTTCGGCCTGTCGACGCAGCTACCATCATGGTCCACGTCCACCTGGACCTTGAATTGACAATGGTGATCACGTGCGCGTGTTGCTGGACATGATGGCGTCTACTGCGTGGAACCACGTGTCAAAAGACGTAATCATCTGCTGCCTATTGTTCCTCGGCCCCACGCTGTGCTCACTCGTGCACTTCGCGCGAGGTGGTGAATATCTTCGGGCCATTATAGCAAGCAAGTCCACCGTCATCCTTGCAGTGCTCGTTGTCGCCGGGTTGGTACACAGACAGAGCATCGTCTTGAATCAGACAAAAGTTGGGTACCGTGCACATCAAGCCTTTGCTGAACGTTGGCTCTTTTGAGAGCGGATGTGGGTGAACCAACCGTTTTGAGCACCAAGTCTGGTCGAACCTTAACCAGTGCCAAGTTGGCTCATGCCATTGCACGAGCTGAAAGGTGCACAAAAAACAGGGTAGTATTACCACCAACGACGTGACACTCGTATCGAATGTTACTCGATTTTAATGGGTGGCGTTGCGCGACGAGGCGTTCGTTGGAGCAGTTAGGTTCGGGTGTGCTTTGTTAGCGCACCATATTACCACATCTGTCGATCAATATTTCTTGCGTCGAGCCGGCAACAAGTAGAATTTTCAGGGGTTGTTCGCGGGAAGACACCAGTCGTATCGGCCACGAGTCAACAGAAGAGAGCGGTGAATGTCGTGCGCCACAAGGTAGCGTCTTTACAATATACTCCCTTCGTGCCACTGGTCCTACTACTTATCACTATCGTCTCTGAGTGCTACAGCCGTCAAGGATCGCACTTGAGTACTGTGGTATTATTACTCGACAACTACAGTGTAGCGCGCTGCACCTACCGCAGTCTTCATTTCCAACTTGTGACTATGTTGGGTTGAACTGACTATTTTTGCACAGGTTGCATTTCCCACATCGGTTTCATATTAAAATTTAAAATGAAACCGATGTGGGAAATGCTTTCATATTAAAATTTAATATGAAACCGATGTGGGAAATGCAACCTGTACTCAATATTGGGTTTCACACCCAAGCTTGGTGCTTTCACAATTTGCGGCAACCACTAACACGGGTGCAGCATTCGGGGATGCTGCGGCAAATTGGGCCCTGTAATAAAGGCTGAATGCAATAACCATCGGCAGAGCGAGCTGGAACGACGTGTACCGGTACACAGCAGTCTGCGTAATCTATGTCTCGCACGACAAGTTGCGAGAGGGCGTGCAATAT